AAACCGCTGGACTCACACAATGTCTTCGGAATTACGGTAGGATTAATACTTTTCCTTAAAAACGCTCCAGACCGACCTAGTGTCGATGAAAATCAGCCGTTTTTCATTGGTTTTGGAGCAGAAGAGGGGAGAAAAACGAACATCACTATGTGTTTTCAACTCGTCATAAATATTGTTCTGAAAGACACACGTACACCAAAGTTGGCATAGTTGGAGTCGAAGGATTGCTGATGCTCATGGTGAAGAAATTTTTTGAATAACTCATACGGTTTTTGCTAAGCAGTCGTTTGTTCAGAGCTGTTCCTCCCATTCAAAAAAGCCTGAGAGCGAAGGAACGATAGTGCTGCGCTTTTCTCTCTGTCACTGACAGGCTCGTTAAGCGTTGTCAAGGTAACCGTGCTTCAAACAGATTTTACCTCTGCTGTTTTAAACAGCACATATTAATCTAATGGAGGGTGAAAGCACTGATTTAACATTGGGAAATTGATACTATATGACTGCTGTCCATGACACTTCCCTTGCCACTCAACACTGATAGACTTTCAAAATAAGACTCCAGGGACCCTACAAAATAAAAGCCTCTACATTTTTTACATATATTTATTGCCCTATATGGCTCAACATTATGACCCAAACTCAACCCCATTTTAGAGAATAGACTCTAGGAGACTGTTTAAAACACACCCTATGGCAAATTTCAAAATAAAAGCCTCCCATTTCATCTTCATCTACTGCCCTAATAACATGGAAAAAAGAGTGATTTAACGATTGGAAAGTCATCAACTATCATTGCTGGGTCTGAACATTTTCTCTAAACACAACTCTGTTGGACTTTCAAAATAAGACTCCAGGGACCCTACAAAATAAAAGCCTCTAGATTATACTAATGCAATAATTGATGCAAATGGCTCAACATTATGACCCAAACTCTTCCAGGTTGTTTTTATTAGACTCTAGTGACCTTTTCAAAACACACCCCAGAGCAAATTTCACAATAAAAGTCTCCCATTTACTCTGTAATACAGCAGCTATTCACCTAATAACATGGAAAACCAGTGATTTAACATTTGGAAATGGATTCTACATCACTGCTGGGCATGACCCATCTTTTGATACACATCCATGATAGACTTTCCAAATAACACTACAGGGACTCTACAGAATAAAAGCCTCTTCCTTATACACACTCATACATTCTGGCATATTGCTCATAGCCATTTGTAATTTCATCATTGCAATGGCTCTGAGCATGCGGGCGGAGCCCGCCATTGGTGATTTCATCACTGCAATGGCTCTTAGAAGGCGGGCGAAGCCCGCCAATGGTGATTTCATCACTGCAATGGCTCTTAGCAGGCGGGCGGAGCCCGCCATTGGTGATTTTTTTCATCCCTGCAAGGGCTCCTAGCAGGCGGGCAGAGCCCGCCAACTGCGCTTTACCCACTGCGGTTCAATATGGACAACCCATATTACCCTTGTGCATCATATGCTGTGCACGTCTATTTCCCAGATTTCAGCACAAGTGGCACACAGCTCTCTTTGCCCATGACCTAGCCCTCTTTCCTTCCCTCAGCAGCCCTCAAAGGCGTAAGCAGTTGGTCTGGGGAGCCCCAATGTCACTTGCCAGGGCCGTATTGGCCCAGTTACCCAGACGGGCAGTAGGTGGCCCCCCTCAAAATTTCTTTAGAAATTTTCTAGTTGGTAATTGTTCCTTTGTTGATAGCTGGAAACTATCACCATCCTTATTTGGCAGTTTATTTCTTTTTTTTGCCTGAACTGGCCCTTTATCAGGGCTGGGTTTGATTTTGTTGGTGTTATCCAGCAACAGCTATGTATGCGTGTGCAGAGCTGACTGCACCAGAAGCTTAATAATTTCTTGGAAGTTTGCCTTCAGGCCCTTGGCCCCTGCAGGATGGGCCTCATGCCAGCCGTACTGTATATTCTTTTTTTTTTTTGTGGCAGTTTAGAGCAACCCTTAGCAACAGAACCAGAGTCCGTACTGTATATGCTCTGGCCCACATCCTGTTATAAACATCTGAGACATCATACAGCTGCATGAATTCATGTGGGGTAGAATAGTGAAAGCGAAAAAGTGAAAGCCCTTTGGGAAACTCCTCCAACTCCCATTGTCATTGTGACACAGCACACACAAGTGAACACTGGACACCATGAAATTGCATTTATGCCTCACCCGTGCAAGGGGGCAGCCCTCAATGGCGCCCCAAGGGAGCAGTGTGGCGGGACGGTACCATGCTCAGGGTACCTCAGTCATGGAGGAGGATGGGGGAGAGCGCTGGTTAATTACTCCCCCCACCAACCTGGCGGGTCGGGAGTCGAACCGGTAACCTTTGGGATCCAAGTCTGACACCCTAACCGCTCACCCACGACTGCCCTTAAGGCTGCAGTACAAAATAGGCCTTGGCTCATCCAATGCTGGACAAGACAAGAAAAAACAAACTTTAGACACTTTAGATGTAAGTGGGTTTTTTTCACAAAAAAATTAAAACAAAATATATATATATTTTTTTTTTTTCAACTAAATAAGCATATGTATGTGTTCAAATTAGCACCCTTACCTCTTCTCTGCTGTAAGCCCTCTGGGAATGTGAAATGGTGAGCTCTGGCCTCAGAGGGGTGAGCTTGAGGTGGCCCTCAACAGCATGGTGAGGTTAATAGATGCTGATCAATAGAAAGTGACAGTTTGCATAAAAAGCTGCTCCCCCTACTGGCCTGTTTTCAGTTGAATCAAAACTCTGTCCTCCCTTTTAAATAGTGATGATTTAATTCTTGAAAAAACACTGGGAATGTTTCGGAGATAGCAGGTTTATTTATAGAATGTTTATTTATTCAGGATCATTAAAAAAAAAACAACAACAATAAAAAGGTAAAATGTTCAAATCATAGCAATAAGATGTTTTTAATGACTTTCTCTTTTATTCTTTTTCATTTCTTTACATCAGGTTCAACATGCCTCATGATGACAATCCCAAGTGTAGAGAGGCAGGCATGAAGCACCAGTATCACGTCATGGCTCCTACCCTCAACTACGACACCAATCCTTGGTCGTGGTCCAAGTGCAGTCGCAAGTACATCACAGAGTTTCTAGAGTATGTACATCCAGCTTCTCTTTCCCCTTCTGAAATTCTATAGTGTGTCCCAAATCTAAAAACATATAAATCTATTTATATGGTGCTTTCTTTTGTCTGATAAGGAATCTTAAAAAAAAAAAGGGTTCTGAATGCCTTAAGAAATCCCCTAATTAGTAAATACAGCCCATCTGTGTTTAATTTAAACAGTTTAAATCCAGCTGGTCTGTGAGGACCTCAGAGGTTTGTTGGAAAACGTTAGTGAACAAACAGCATCATGGAGAAAGAAATACAAAGCAGACATGTCAGAGATAATGTTGTGGAGAATTTTAAAACAAGGTTTGGTTGTATAATAACATCAAAAGCTTTGTAAATCTCACAAAGCTCACTTTAAGCCATTTGTCGAGATGGAAATGGAACGGCGCTCGTACAACCTGCCAATGCATGGCTATTCAGCTAAACAGACAGGCAGGCAGGGAGAGCATTTTCTAAGAAACAGTTAAGAGGCCCATGGTTACTCCAGAGGAGTGCAGAGATCTACAGGTATGTATAATAAAACAATCTATAAAGGGGCTTCTTTTGATTGTATATTCTTTCAGACTTTTGTGCAAAACTGCATGAAGAAAGCCAATATAAAAAAACCTTAGAGTTGATGTAAACTACAAGCCATGGAGATGACAAAACAAATGTGGATGAAGGACTAGAGATGAGCCAAACTTTTTTTTTTTTTTTAAACATTGTCCTGTCTGGCAATGTAGCAATTAGAATAATTGTCTTGATGCCAAAAACCCCAACAGATTTTACTTTCACAAGTGGAGCAGTACTAGCCTTGTGAGACCATCCTGATCTCGCGAGCTTTCAAGGTTTCACTCGCAGATCAGTCTGGCTACTCTGGTCTCCGTTAAAGAAAATTTGGAGCCGTTCACCAATGAACATCCAATCAGCGTTGGCTTTGAGGCAGGTTGAGGTGTGACGCAACGAAAAGCGCGACAGTTCAGTCTAAAGAACATGGCGGCTTCAGCCGATGAAACTAGCGTTAGCGTGGCTATCGAGCAAGTTTTATCGGAATTACAGAGTATTTCTTCACTGAAAGAAGAGCAAAACACTGCTCTGGAGGCTTTTCTCAGAGGAAAAGATGTTTTAACTCTTCTCCCGACTGGTTTCGGCAAGAGTTTGATCTATCAATTGGCTCCTCTTCGTCGTCGCTCTGTTAGTACGTCATATGCTTCGTTGATCTGATTGGTTTATTTGGCCCGTCTATCACCAACATAGGCCAATCAGCTAACCAGTATTTTCGCCCCTTCCCAAAATTACTTCAACGGAAGGTTTCCAGATGGATATGCGGAGCAAATCCATCTGGCGGAGTCAGGTTAGAGCAGTACGGCTATCGCCATAGTGTTCAGCTTGTTTAATGCATATAAATTGCTTTATTATAATTATGCAGAGAGTTTTACAGATTATGTGGACACTGCAATGTAATAGAACAGAAGAGGAAAAACAGAAAAAAAAGGAGAAAATATGAAAGAAAGAGGAGATAGAAGGAGATAATCATAAAACATTTTCAGCCTGCTTCATCACCTGCGACGAGATGTAAAAAGAACAGCACAACAGTACAATAAAGTATCACCTTGAAACTATCGCTGAAGTAGTATTATTTAGTTAAGATAAGAATGTGGGCTTTCTGTATCCAAACTTTTTCTCAAACATCTTACCTTTAACACTCTAAGGGACATTGCTCTCTGCAGACTGCATGTTTTCTGTAGGAAATATAGTTTTTAATTAAAGGTGTCAGAGCAAAGGTTGTTAAACAGCTCACCATAGCACAGTTCACACTCTCTAAAATAGAATATATGCATAGAATAGAAAAAAGTTTTTGGTTGTAACATAATAACATCAAGACCAGGTTGGAAGGGTATGAATACTTTTCCAAATCCCTGAATATTTGGAACAAAAGAGGTTTTCTCAAGCAGAACAAACTTGTTTTTTATTCCTGTGGCAGGACCTTCGGCTGCAGTTCACAATACAAATAGATCCTATGTCTCCATCAGGACTTTAAGACAGGTCGGCGCAATATAAACCGTGTGGAGTTGTTATTGCCTGGTGTTGAAAGAGTATTTCCTGTTTAAATCTAGGATGTGTGTGTGTGTGTGTGTGTGTGTGTGTGTGTGTGTGTGTGTGTGTGTCTGTGTGTGTGTGTGTGTGTGTGTGTGTGTGTGGGTGTGTGTGTGTGTGTGTGTGTCTGGTGGGGGGTATTCTGCCTCAGCTGACCTGAGACGTAGATCTGCTCCACTTCTTTAGACAGCTCTCCACTGAACCAGGACATAACACTCTCGCTAGCCTCCCGTTTACTCACATCGTCGGCGTCATCAATGAGTCTGCTAAAGGACTTCCTTTTTAAGAGTGAAATGCCATTTGTCAAGATCTTCCCTCGACGTGACCTTTTTATCCTCCCCTCCTCTTCCAGTGGTTGATGTGGAGGCTCTGTTTCTCAAAGGAAACATTTTGGTTAAACAGATGGATCTTTAGTCTGGTTGGATCAAACTTGTTTTTGCACTTTGCATAGTTTCCCATCAGTAATGAACTTAGCATTGAGTGGTCAGAGCAGTCTGCAAAACGTGAGGAGAATCCTCATCACCCTCTTTTATTTCTATTGGTGTATTATAAGTGTGTTACAAAAAAAAGAGAATCAATGGAGTATTTTGAAATCTTTCAATTGTTGCTCAGAACCTGACAAGTAAAGTCATTTAAAAAAAATTAGGATTCTGCTAAAAAGTGAATAAATTTCACTAACACAACCTACTAAGTAAAAAAAGATGTATAGTTAAAACCAAAAAGTTCTATCTATGTTCATTATAATTATTTTTCAGTTTGAGCTTATGAGACAAACATTTAGGATTAGAATTGAGTAAACAAATGTGGAGATAATAAAAAAAAAAAGTATGTTCAACATTTATTTTAATTATGTTTTAAGTTGTACATTTATGTTACCGAATGAGCTTTATTACCATGCATATTCCACAATTGACTGAATAGGACTGTATGGTGTAAAAGTAGCTATTGTTAGAAAACCTTTTTGGTTTTTCTACACCTAATCTTAAACAAAAAAGGAGCTTTGATTCCACCCATCATTTCTACAGTACCACTCCTGTTTGGAGAGCTGACCTGGTTAAGTATGTCAGTGTTTTGGAAAGCCAGTATCAATAAAAAGCCAATTAAGTTCTAGGCTTCAGTACCTCTTCAACATTTTCTCCCCATAGGCTGAAGGATTCCTCTTCTTCCCTTTATTTCACTCTTCCTGTAATTATGTGCATCACTTTCCCACACATGAGAGTTGATGAAAAGTGTCCTGTTGTATTGGAGTATTACAATGTGACATAAAGAAGCTATTTATTATTTTTCTGGCTCTGCGTTGGTTTATTCAGGCCAAAAGAATCTAAGGAACAGAAGTAAAATGCAAATATCAGAGTGCTGTTCTCACAATGAAAAGAAAAGTACAGAAATAATTTTAAAAGAAGCAACTGCAGCTGCCCTTCAATCTACAGTATGGTCAGTTATAAGACAATTTTAGAAAAATTGTCTGTCATTCTATGAGAGAGTATTCACAGAATTGATGTTGGAAAATTGCAAATTTGTCTTTTGAGGTTTAGGGTTGAGCAAATTAAACCTGGCATTAGAAAAGACTCTCCTCGAAGAAGCCAAGACCTCCATTTTACATTGTAGAGCTCTGAGTTAATTTGTCCATTGCTGCAAAAATAGAAGAAGAAGAAAAAAAAAGATCAATAGTTCTTCATTTGGAGAGGTTGCCGAGAAAAATAAGTATCTTCAAAACATGGCTGCTTGATTTATGTGTGAAAAATGAATTAAATTGAATTGACCACACGTGAGGAAAAGTGCATTGTACTGATAAGATCATAGTGGCAATATTTGGTCAAAGTTAAAGAAAATGATGCTAGATAAAACCAAATAAAGCCCCTCATACCGCCTGTCAAGCAGTTTTATTAATGACAAAGTGTATAAAATCTTACACTAAACATTTGTGCTGAAAAGCCTTATTTTAATAGCACAGCTGATATAAACGCTAGCTAACTCTTAGCAGCACTCATGCCAAAGAATGGAGTGGTTAATATATATAAAGGCTCAGGCATAGCAAGATCACTCACCAGAAAAATATTTTTTTGTTTTGATTTTCCCAAACCAGCTGATCAGGATCTGTTAAGCTGGACATAAACAGATTTATTTATTTTTTTCAATTGATTAATTAATTGATTACCTTTATTGATCTCACAGTGGAGAAACGCACTCATTACATCGTCTCAAATAGTCAAAGAGAAGAAGAAGGTGCCAAAGGAAGAAAAGGTGTAGTTTATGCGGTATATACAATGCATATACAATGCATTTTTTTTTAAAGCAGGATTATTATACAGAGTTATTGCACAGGGTATTTATCTATTTAGGTCTTGCACTGAAGAAATTAAATAAAATAATAATTGCACATTATATATTGCACAAGTTATTGCTGAAGTTGGTAGTTGGTCATAAAACTCATTAAAATGTCCAAATTAGAGTGAGAAAGCGAGTGTTCGTCTTCTTTATGGTCATATCTCCCCCAAAAAACGACCACAATGACCCCTTCTGTCTCAGATGATCTTGGATATATTCATCATGGGTCAGGACGCCTAAATGACAAGCTGCTAAAAGACACTGCAGAATGGAAGCACCTGTATTAGACTCTAACAAGCCGCCCTCTATCTTTCATTAACAGCACCTTCCACTACTGATTTATTCCTCATATACAGTCCATTCACACTGGCAGGCATCATATGGTGCAGTGTCATGCTGTAACTCACTGCTGGAAATGAAAGGACAAAGAAACAAAGTGACTGTAGCCCTGGATAATCCCTGATAATTATTGGCCTGTCACATCAGCTGCTTGCTTTGTGAAGCAGGTGTTTTAGCCTCTCATTCCAGATTGAGATTTGTCAAAGCAGACATGTGTAATTGCTCATCTATGTAGGTCTCATCGGCGTTTCCTTTTTTCCCCCCAGAGTAAACAAAAAAAAAGAAGAGGCCTTTGTGGCTCGGCTCACTTTGCTCGGATGTTTGACGGGTGCTTTTTCATAGAGGTGAAGGCTGATGATTTTACATGTACTGTCGGCTTATGGCGCATATAAATTCAGTCCAGCTGTGCTTTTGTACTCCAGGGCGGAGCTGATTTACAGCACAATCTGTTATTATACAATAATATTCATTCATTTATGTCACTTAACAAATGCCTTCAGGATCACACTTGATGTCAGAGTCTAACTCCTGTTAGCTCTGCAATAAAAGACTGTTTTCACCCAATTTTCTTAATAGTCTAGGTTTAATACAATCAATATTTACAAATAGACTTTAAAGAGTTATTCTCTTTAGGTAACTGTCCGGACCACCCACAGAGGAAACACGTCTAAAGGGTGATCATCACCCGCAATGACACTGACATGTTTACCCGGCCTTTATAATAGAGATAACACTGGGATGTTCATGCTTTTCAGGGTCATAGAAAACTCTGTTACCTTGAAATTCCCCTATGAATTTACATTTCATGTTAACTATAGGGAGGCTTAGTGATTCTCTCTTTCCTTTCTTTTGATGTACATTCTTCCTGTCTGTCAGCACTGGATACGGGGAGTGCCTCCTGGATGAGCCTGTCGGCAGAACATACGAGCTTCCGACTCTCCTTCCTGGTCAGATCTACAATGCCAACAGGCAATGTGAACTGATGTTTGGTCCTGGTTCTCAAATTTGTCCCTATATGGTAAGTTGACATCTAATATAATTAAGAAATAAAATAATACTAAAAGAAGATGTTGGAAGGAGATAGGTAAAGCCCAAAAAAATACATATCTCTGGTGTTCTTCAAATGAAGATTATTTAACTTGAACAAATAAGTTTATTTCTGATAGAAGGTATTTCCCAAAAAGTTATTTAAACAATGTAAATGGAGAATCAGTTTGGGGACATCAGCTTTGTGTTTAATTATTTAAAAAAATACCTTATTAGTTCTTCTTGAAAAGACCCACTCTCCCTAATAAAAAAAAAAAAAATGCACATGCAGAACCCTGTACCCACTCCTGAGAGGGAACGCTTAAGAAACGCTCTTTAAACAGAGCGTGCACAAACCCATTTCACGTTGTGCACGCTCTGTTTACAAGTTTACTTTCCAAAAGAAGATTTGCAATTTTTCCACAATGTCAGACTCACCACCGGTAAGTCCTTTCGGAAAAAGAACATCCTCCACTATACCTTTGAATAATGCCATAATACAGATTGATTATTAAAATATTCCTTTATAAAGTTTTTATACCACACATTTATTTCCTAAACTAAAAGATGCATGTTTTAAAAACAGGGAGGAAGTTAAGATGCTCAATCTTCTGTTTTTTTTGTGTGTTTTTTTTTTTAGCTCTGATTGAAATTTAACAAACCAGGAAAGAGAAGTGACTTTTTTTCAGGTTCTTTTGGGGGAAATCCAGAGAAACATGGTAAAAACTAAAGCAGTTACTAACAGAAATTGACTAAATACAAAATTCTACAGACAGAAAAATGACCAAAACACTGAAATAAAACCTGACAGTTACATAACCCAAAAGCCAAAGGGCCACTAAATGAAGTCCTAGCGACAATCATTTTAGCAAATTAATCTGGCGCCAGTAGATACAGATGAAGTGTTTTAGATTTTAGTTTTAAAAGATTTTCACTGCTCAATCCAGGTTTTATTGCTAGATAAACTACTTTTCTATCATCACAGAAACAATGCAAAAGATTGTGGTGTACGAGTGCAGAGGGGGACCACAAAGGCTGTCGCACCCAGCACATGCCTCTGGCTGATGGGACTGACTGTGGTCATGGAATGGTAAGTCAAGGGCAGTCCAAATGTATGCAGCAGCAATGATCCATGGGAAAACCAGCTCTGGTTTTATGAAAAAAATAAAATAAAAATAAAAATACATGCAAAGTACCTTGGGAAAAATCTTTTTACATCACATTAAAAAGTTTAGTCTATTTTTGGGGTTTATGTGACATAATGTTAGGGAGCAATGGTTTGCAGAATCATTTTAGCTTGACAGCTGTAAGTACAATACAACCAAATGCCTACAAAAAGGAACCTTTTAGTAAATAAGTGACAGTTTTTAGGGGGTATTGGAGATTGTGATTGGAGATGTCAGGGATAAAGCTGTGCTATGTTTTAAGGAAGGGTTAAAGTACAAAACATCCTATTTAAATGGGAAGTCCATAACACTCAAGTGTTTTTTGTTAAACTACCTAACTATGGATTTTCAAGGACATAAGTAGAATAAGAAAGAGACAGGAGAAAGTAATTGTAATCACAAAACTTTTAATAGTGCATCTGCACATTCATGTTTTGTGTCTCGAGCGTCGAAAGTCTACATTGGATGCTCATCTAGCGACGATGTGAGGTCCTTTCGGGTGTTTCAAACACTCGATGTGGCATGTTTTTAGAGTCAGATGAAGTGCATTGTGAGGTTTTAAGTGTTTACCATATTTAGTGGATCCAAAGAGGAGGAAGTTGGAAAATCTGATTGCAGCTCAAGTCAGTGCTTCAACTAATCCAAGAAGCTGATATGGGAGTTGGCTAGGATACAGTCACTGTATCCAAGTAGTCGCTTAACTAGTTCTAATTTATACTGGATACATTTAATTTCCAATTTCCCAATGTTGTCCTGTCTCTTACTGGATGTGCTTTGGCTTCACCACTATAACCACTGGGGGATACTGGGGTATCTTCAACATTTACATTGATTACATATAGATAAATATTTTCTTTGGAAGTGTTTGACTGGCAGACTGATTGGTATTAATGGTGTTTTGAAAAAAGCCGTGGATCTTCTCTGGAGGTGCTGTTGAGAAATCACAAATGTTGTGTATTTCATTACGATCTTATTGTGATGCTTCATAACTGTAATAGGATGAAAAAAAGGGAAAATGGTTTTTAATGTGGATGCAGATCAGGGATAAAGTTTTGCACCAAATCAATGTCCAAGGACTTTATCATGTCTATGTTTCTATTTCAAATGACAGAAGAGATTCTCAAAATGAACAACTGCCATGTAGGTTTATTGGGTCAGAAATTTATCCTGCTTACAGTAAATAACCAATTACCATTTACAGTATACACCTGCTACATTATGTTACAACTTGTACTCAGCATTTGATCACATTTTCCAAATGGTATACAATACTTTTGAGTATCTTGCATCCTTCTATGTATGAGGCATTTTGGGAGTCAATGCAACCATTTTGCAACACACAAAATGCCCATTCCTTACTGCAAAAGCAGATATCATCCTTTCAAATACTTATTTCACATTGGACTCAGTTAATCTCCTATTGGAATATCAATGCACTACATTTTTTATTTTCAATCTGCAGTAGCCATTTACAATTCACAAGATGTCAAATAACTTGCAGAACACTGAGAGGAGTTTACATTGTCCTTTCTAGGGTAGTTTTTGGGTAGACAGCCTGTTAAATGTATACAATGTAGAGGAATTTAACTAATATACACTTTTTAGTTTATGGCAGTATGGAACTCTCATCAAGTATTTTAAAAAAAGAACTGAAATCATGCGTTGGCCCAGAATCCAAAAACATTCAACTGAGTTTCAAATGACTGGTTTAGATCAAATGTCATCATCATACCAGAATAGCCCAGTTGAAGGTCTGGTCTTAAATACTTTGATATTTTTAGATAATGTTGATTAGATAGGATAGAATAGCATCTAAAGAGTTTTAGGTATAGGTATTTACAAAATCATGTTCAGGTAACCTTGTAGAGAAATATCAAATGACTTACAGTGGGTACAGTGATACGTTGGTTTTTGAAAGTATTGACCAATGGGGCAGAAAAAAAATAAAAATTTAATATATTATTTTCCTTTTTATTTTTCATACCGTTCAAAGTGTTTATCACTAAAAATACTTGTGAAATACTTTTTTTTTTTTGCTGTAACAGTTCAACATGTTTGAATACATTTTGATGACATTGACAGTGCAAATGCAAAGAGATGAAATTGTGCACATGTATCTCATACAATAAAAAAATGACCCAAAATGATTCTGATGATGCAAAGTAGAGTTCAAAATTGTTTCCTTTTCCCCATTGAACTAGTTTCTTCCTAAAAGGGAGCCATACTGTATTGAATTTCAAACAGAACACATTTTTGACAGATGCCAGACTTCACATGCACTGTTTAAGTTTTGATTACCTTCCCAGTTGTGCATTTCTACTAACAAAAAAGGAATAATTTTACATGAATTACTCTGCTCCCTGCTTTCTGGAACCAGGAACCCATGTTCCATCCCACCCAAATAAGTGGATGGCTAGAGTTAGAAACTTGAAGCTTTACCATCCTGTGTTGTTAAAGGGGCCCCCATCAACCTTTAGCCTGCATGTTTTCCCTGCCTTGGGACAGTATGCTAATCAGAGCTGAGACGGTGGGTCACTCATACATGGAAAGGAAAGCCAGAAGGAGGATGATTGAGTGGGGGAGGAGGAAGGAGAGAGAGAAATAAAAAACAGTGATCGAGGGAGGATAAATTGATTTGAAGGAGTGTACCGCCTTCTGTTCACAGTTGAGTCACCTTATTTTGAACCTGTGACCCTAAAACATCTCTAGAAGACAGGTGATTGGGTCAGTTGTAAGACTATAACAGACAAGAAGGAGGGCAACTAGTGTTCTCACAATAGACCTTAAGTCAATGGTCCCTGTAGATGGGAGAGAAGGGGGGAACGAGCAAATGGTTGACTGGTGTTAGCGGTTGGAACATGCATGGTGAGGAGAAGGAGAGAAGGAAGGTTCTCTTTGTCTCTGACCTTTTGGCTTCTATGAATCTCATGGACTGAACCCATGTTATGTCTCATATTCTTTCATCTGGCTCCATCTCGTTCCCTGCTATGTTAGGACCAGGATCTGCCCAGACTAGTGAGGAGGAGTTAACAGGGAATGGCTAACATCCTAATCCAACTGCAACAACCAGTCTAAACAATAATGTACTCTGACTGAAAGCTCATTTCTGCAGTCATTGTGTATGTGGGTTAAACACATAAAAGTGTAATCAACCTTAGTGGGTTTTTTTAATAAAGATACAACCTACAAACAAACAAACTCAGAAGCCAATGGAAACAGTTAAAAGGTTTATTGTGGTTTACAAAAAACACAGACTGAGAGATAAATAGCTGGGTAACACTGTTGGACCTGTGCGGACTGGTGAACCGGAACCGGAAACTCTGAAGGGGAGATAACAATGATCAGTTCAGGGACTGTAGTAAAATTGACTGAGGCTTGTAATTTGCAGGAGAGGCACTCACGTTTGGGGCACTCTTGGTTAATCTTCGGATCCAGTTTGTGGGGATTTATCCAGAGATGAAAGAACTCGTTGGAGAGCGGACAGGCAGACTAACGTTGGGTCCAGAGGAGCAAAGGAGCGGACTGTCACCGGGTTTTCCTGAACAGGACTTGAACGGCTCATGTGGGGGTTTCCCCTTGCTCAGTTGTGACTCAGTTTATCCTTCCAGGTGGGGTAGAAGGTCCAGGTTTATCCAGTGGATCAGGATGGCTTCCTGCCAGAGAACAAAGACAAAGCAAGCTTAGTCTCAGAAAGACAAGGCTAAAGGTTAGACTCAGCTAATCTGAGTTTGGCTAGAGTACCCAATAATGGCAAACACTCTGGCGTCCAGGTAGTGACAGCCCGCTGCTCAAATACTCCTCTGGTGATGACCCAATGAGCCGCAGGTGTGCGAGGAGGCCCAAACGAGGACAGGGCACGATCTAGTGGTGGAAAAAGAAAACATAAAAATAACCCACACAAACTGGGATAGATGTTACTAATGGCTTGTCTTTAGCTCTGGATAAGTTTCAGTGAAATAGGCAAATTTATGGTGGAGAGTAATATATGTAAATCCCTTTATTGTACCCCAATGGAGACATTCGTTCTGTGCATTTTGACACATGCCCTTGGGAAGCAGTGGGCTGCAATCAGGTAACCCAGAGGGGATCGAACCAGGTACTTGAAACCTCAGAGCACAAGCAGACTTCTCTAAACCACTAGGCCAACACTCCCCTATATATTCCCTATATAGGTTACTATATCTTTGCAACAAGTTTTTACATAGCCTTAGACTTTTGGAACTGTTGTAGAATTCGTAATATATCAAAAGTGGAGCAATAGCTTGTCTGCTAAATTATTTATTAATATTATATCATTATATTAATTATATAATTTCTATTTACTGCATATTTGACTAAATGAAATCTAAACTAATTACCTATGACAGACAAATAAACCATGTTCTCATAATGGCTTGGCATTTAAAATATCAAAATGGGTTTTAAAAGCTTGAAATTGCAGTACAGTAGATTTCTTTTGGATCTTTTCCAGTAAAAGAGAAATTGATCCTTTGTGCAGAAACTGTGACTCTTATTAAATGGATTATAACATTTGAATGTTCCGCACTTAAAAAATCTCTAAATATATATTTTGTCTTAGCTGTTCAAAAAATAAAACTTTGAGAAGAGTTAGGATTTTTTTTGGATGTAGAAAAAAAATTAAGAACCAATTCGTTTTTTAAATTAGTTGTGCAACAATTATTTGAAATCCTAATTTTGCTCTTTCACCAGTAGGGACTGTTGATTTTGCTTAGGTAAATGGCACATTATGTTTGGCGTTATTGGAGAAAAAGCAGGGATGCTGAAATGACCAGCATTCAAAGGAAATTCGGAGCAATTGTGATGGAAGGAAAATATAAAAGTTGAGCTGGAAGGAACATTTAACACAGATAGACCCTAGCTTGGAGACAAATATACTATAAACCAAGGGAAAAGATAAACAGAT